GTTTATTAAGAGTTTTGGAGGATAGAAGTCTGAATTCAAAGTGCCAACTTCTGGGGGCTGGGTGAAAGCCCTTCGACCTTGGGCTTCAGCTCTGCCTCTGGCTCCCAGCCCACTGAAGCTGGAGGCTTTCCTCACTTAGGTAGCTGCTGGCTACTGAGGCTGACATACCCAAGGTCGACAAGTACAAAGTTACAGTCCCAATGTTAACAAACCACACAGCAGGCCATTGACTTAAGTCCATTGAAAGTCCCAAGATGGCAGAGCATGGCAGGCTACTGAGTGAAGACTGGATTCAAGCATGCCAAAAAGCTATAGACCATTCCTAAAACTTCTCCTTGTAAATGGGAAGCAGACAACATCCCTAAAGCAGCCGCTTAGCTGCTTGTGGCAGATTCCACCATGGAGGTCACTGCCGGTCTCATCATGGGGAATAACTACCTTCAGCTGCCAGCCATTCAAAACTAGGCTCAACCAAACTGACACATAACCCTAACTACCACACTGTCCATAATACTTTGGCACATCACCATCTGTACATTCAAGGCAATAGTTCATTGTTGCTATGGTACCTGCACAACACTGCTCCTAATTAAAGAATTTTTCTCCAGCAAAATTGCAGAGCAGAAAAAAGCAATCAACAGAATCAGTACCACCTGGAGCCCATGTCTAAGGAGCTCTGGTGACACGGTGCCTAAGGCATTTGACTGCTAACCAGAAGGTTGGCAGTTCAAACCCACCAGCTACTTCACAGAAGGCAGATGGGGCAATCTACTTCCATAAAGATTTACTGCCTTGGAAACCCAAAGGGGGTCGCTGTGAGTCGGAATTAACTCGATGGCAGTGAGTTTTTTGTCTTTTTTTTTTTTGAATGCCTATGTCTAGTGTTTTCCAAAAGATCTTTGTAGGAAAATAGTGGGGAAACTAGAAAAATCTGAATGTAAAGTCTCTAGTTAATAGTATTATCAAACCAAACCCAAACCCAGTGCCATTGAGTTGGCTCCAACTCATAGTGACCCTGCAGGACAGAGGAGAACTGCCCCATAGGTCTCCAAGGCTGTCACTCTTTAGCGAAACAAAGCCCAAACCCAACCCAACCCGCCACTGGGGAGTTGATTCTGACTCACAGTGCCCCTAGAGGACAGAGTGGAACTGCCCCACAGTGTTTTCAAGGCTGTAAATCTATACTGAAGTAGACTGTCCCATTTCTCACCCCAGGAGCACTTGGTGGGTTCAAACCTCCTACCTTTTGGTGAGTGTCAGAATGCCTTAAGCCCTGTGCCACCAGAGCTCCCCTGATAGTATTGTATCAGTGTTCTGGTTCCCTAGTGCCATTCTGACCCGAATATACCACAAACGGGATGGCTTGAAGAATCAGGAGTTTATTCTCATACAGTTTGGAGGGTTTAAGTCTGAGTTCAAAGTGCCAGGCTCTAGGGGCTGGGTGAAAGCCCCTCAACCTTGGGCTTCAGCTCTGCCTCCTGCTCCTGGCCCACTAAAGCTGGAGGCTTTTCTTCATTCAGTTGCTGCCTGCTGAGGCTGCCAAGCCCAAGGGTGACAAGTAAAAAGGCACAGTCCCGATGTTACCAAACCACATGGCAGGCCATTAAGTTAAGTCCATTGTAAGTCCCAAGGTCGGCAGAGCATGGCAGGCTACTGAACAATGACACGGCAATATACAGGGTTCAAGTGTGCCATAAGCTAGAGACCATTCCCCTAAGCTTCTCCTTAAATACAGGAAGCAGACTATATCCCTAAGGCAGCTACTCAGCTGCTCACAGTAGATCCTACCATGGAGTTAATTACCAGTCTCATCATGGGGAATAACTACATCCAGCTGCCCAGCCACTCAACCAGGCCCAGCCAAGTTGCACACAAACTTAACTACCACAATCAGTATTAATTTTTAGTTTTGATCAATGTACCATGGTCATAAGGAGCTCTGCTAGCACAATGACTAAGGCATCTGACCATAGTTAACCCACTGTCTGTCAATTTGTCCTACCATGGTGGCTTGTGTGTTGCTGTGATGCTGGGAGCTATGCCACCAGGGTCTCAAATACCAGCAGGGGTGCCATGGTGGACAGGTTTCAGCAGGGCTTCCAGATTAAGATGGACCAGGAACAAAGGCATGGTGAGCTCCTCCTGAAAGTCAGTGAGAACCTTGTAGGTCTCAACACCATAGTGTCCCTTACACTGAGATGCGCCCTGCGATGAGCCGTTTCTCACGTTGGAATGCAGGTGGGATTGATCTGCTCCCAACGAGGTGAACACAGTGGGCCTGGACATTATCCCGCTCACCATTCCAGACCCCTGCTGAGCAGACGCCTGTATCGGCTCCCACCGAGCTTGGTCAGTCTCAAGGTGGTGGGGCTCCTGTGTGGATCAGACCTTTGAGAAATGTTAGCAGCAGGAGACGAAGCAGTGTGGGTAAATCTCTGAATGAGGTTTAACCTTATCTTGAATGGACAACAAAGGAGACAGGCCTCAGTGTGTCCCTTTTGGTGTCCAGAAGCTTCTGTGTCATTGCTAACTAAGAAGAATTGCAGTGGCCCAGAGAGAGGCACCCAGCTGACTCCTAGACAGCGGTGGTATTCATGTGTGTGCTCTAAACGAGTTCAGGTAGTGCTGAGTGATGCAGTTGACCTGTGGTGTTGGTGAAGAATAGTGACTCTACTGGACTGCCCCAAAATGAGCGAATGTATGTTTTAGAAGAAATAGAGCCAGAATGCTTCTTACAGGATGGTGAGATCTCAGCTCCCTTTGGACACATCCAGAAAGACCAAGTGCTAGAAAAGAAGAACATCATGGTAGAGGGTCAACAAAAATGAGGTAGACCCTCACTGAGATGCAACAAACTCAGACACCAGTGATCATGGAGATGATGCGGAACTGGGCAACGTTTAGTTCCGTTGCACATGAGTAGCATGACTTGGAGCCAACTCAAGGGCAACTAACAACAAAAGCTGCCATAGCAGGTGGTGGTGGTGGTGGTGTCAGGTGCCGTCGCGTCAGCTCTGACTCCTGGCGGCCCCGTGTGCAACAGAACGAAACACTGCCCTGTCCTGTGCCAGCCTCACAGGCCTTGCTTTGCTTGAGCCCATCACTGCAGCCACTGTGTCTGTCAGTCCATCTTGTTAAGGGCCCTTTGCATTGACCCTTCACTTTACCAAGCATGACATCCTTCTCCAGAGTATGGTCCCTTCTGACAACATGGTCAAAGTAGGTGAGACAAAGTCCGGCCATTCTCACTTCCAAGGAGCATTCTGGCTGCACTTCCTCCAGGACAGATCTGTTAGTTCTTTTGGCAGTCCACGGTACTTTCAGCATTCTTCACAAGCACCACAACTCAAAAGCATCAACTCTTATTCGGTCTTCCTTATTCATTGTCCAGCTCTCACATGCATATGAGATGGTTGAAAACACCATGGCCTGGGTTAGGCACACCTCAGTCTTCAAAGAGACATCTTTGCTCTTCAGCACTTGAAAGAGGCCTTTTGCAGCAGATTTGCTCAGTGCAATTCTTCCAATTTCTTGACTGCTGCTCCAATTGGCATTGATTGTGGAATCAAGAAATACGAAGTCTTTGACAACTTCAATCCTTTCTCCATTTATCGTGATGCTGCTTATTGGTCCATTTGGGAGGATTTTCGTTTTCTTTATGTTGAGATGTGATCCATACCGCAGACTATAGTCTTCAGTCTTCATGAGTAAGTGCTTCAAGTCATCTGCACTTTCAGCAAGCCATAACAGGTACATTTCAAAATTGCAGTGGTCAGCATAGTGGAAGTTTATCACCATGTATGTAAAGTCCAACTTCAGCAGAAGGTGCTGCTTCACCAACTGTTGAGGACTCAGGCTGACAGCGCCTGCCATCCTTAGCATGAGGCTCCCAAGGCTGCCCTGGGTGTCCACAGCTGGGTGGCAGAAGGAGGAAGAGAGAGAGCATGGAGGCTCCCGAGGGAGGATCTCGTGGGCGGGCCTCAGGACTGGCACACAGGGCTTCTGTCCACACTCCACTGACCAGAACTTAGTCATGGACCCCACCTAGCTGCAGGAGCACGGGGAATCAGCATCCCTGCTGGCAGTCATTTCCCAGGACCAGCTCTCTAGCACGGAAGGGGAGGATATGTGTTTGATGGACAGCTGGCCGCCTCTTCACTGAGCCTCAGCTCAGCATCCCACCGGTAGCAACCAGGAGCCCATCATGACTCAGGACGACCGTGTGTGTCAGGGTAGAACTGGGCTCCGCAGGGTTTCCAGTGGCTGGTTTTTCAGAAGTAGGTCACCAGGCCTTTCCTCCGGGGCACCTGCAGGTGGCTCGAGTGGCCAGCCTTTGTGGTTAGCAACTGAGGTTGTTGGCCATTTGCAACACACAGGGCCTCTGTTCCCCGGCTGCCACCTTGGCTCTGATGCTTTCATTTCTCTGTACATGCAGGGGCTGCTCTGTGCACTGTCCTGCCCTGCCCTGGCCCATCTCACCTGCCAGCTCCCACCCAGGTGCAAGGCTGTGAAGGTGTTGCCTCCTCCTGAAGCCATCACTCAGAGCTGGTGGACTCGGAGCTCCCCACAACATGCTGGCCTGGCCGCGCTGAACACACCCACTACTGCGTCTCCCTCACTGGGCTGTGACTTCCTTGCAGGCCCAGGCTAAGCATCCCCTTTGACACTCCCCAAGTCCCCATAGCTGGGAAAAGTGAAATACTCGCCTACAAAGATCGCCGAATCCCCAGCGCTTAGGCAGATTCCGTCTTGGATCTGAATGTTGATCGAGTGAACGAATGAATTGCAGGAAGGCCCTCAGGTTGACTCCTTCCAGCCCAGCACGCCCCACCCGCCCCAGTCAGAAGCGGCTGTGAATTTGCTGGGCCCAGTGAAAATTTAAGCGCGGGGCTCCTTGTGGAACAATTATTATCCAAGACGGCAACACCAAAGCATTAAACCATGGGGGTGGTGGGTGTCTCCTGGGGGCAGGGCCCTGTGTGGGTGCAGAGGTGGCACGCATGAGGCCGGCCCTGCCTTTTCTGAGGCGCTGGTCACGACACTGGCTCTCTCCCAGCCCCCAGCCCCGCCCGCGGCGCCTCTGGTCCCGGCCACACGCAGTGTCAGGTAGACAGGTAGATAGAAATACAGACAGGCAGGTAGGGAGGTGGACTGACGCACGCACAAGGACAGGGACAGGAGCACTGGGACTCAGAGATCTCGCCTCAAACTCTGGGGACAGGCCCTTCCCGCGGATCCTGCGCCCCGCCTCCGAGCCCCTCTCCAGCCGGTCCGGGAGGCGGCCGGTGGCCCGTCTGCGGTCCAGAGGGGCGAGGTCCGGGCGGCGGGGCGGGGTCCGGGACGCGGGCGGTCCCGCGCGGGCAGAACAGTCGGAAGGGCACGGGCGGGTGGCGAGCAGGGCTGCCTGGGTCCTGCGATCACCGGGTGGGAGCCGGAGCGGACCGGCCGGCCTGCGTCCCCGAGGGGGGCGGGGGCTGCCCAGGCGCCGGGCAGCGCGCGGACGGCGGTGGGCGCCGCGGGGCGGTCGGGGTCAACCGGGTCACTAGGGTGGGGGACCCGGAGAAGCGGAGCGGGGTGCGGACGTCGGCAGAGAGCGAAGGGGCAGGCGTCGGGGGCTGCGCAGAGTGTGGGCCGGTTGGCAGAAGGCACCGGGCGCGGACAGGTGCGAGGCACCGCAGGCGGGACGCAGCCACCCCGGGACACCCAGCGGGCCAGGCACTGAAGATGCCCGACGGCCCGGGGGCGGTGGCGAGCGCCCGGGCGCAGGGCCCGTCGCGGCCCGCGGAGGCCTCAGGGTCCCCGGGTCCCCGGCGGGGCGCCGCCCGCGCCAGCGTCCCGCAGAAGCTGGCCGAGGCGCTAAGCAGCCAGTACGGGCTGAACGTGTTGGTGGCGGGGCTGCTGCTGCTGCTGGCCTGGGCCGTGCACGCCGCGGGCGTGGGCAAGCACGCGCTGCTCTGCGTGCTCACGGCGCTCATGCTGCTGCAGCTGCTCTGGATGCTCTGGTACGTGGGCCGCAGCGCCGCGCAGCGCCGCCTCATCCGCCTCAAGGACACGCACGCCGGCGCGCGCTGGCTCCGCGGTGAGTCCCGGGCGAGCGCGCCCGCTCCCAGCTCGCCGCCGCCCTGCCCGCGGCCGCTCCGCGCGCTTTGCGCCTTCCCTTCTTTCCCGAGGAGCCTTTCTGGACTCCGGCTTCCTTCCTTTCTGCTTCCCCTCCTGCCGGTCCCGCTCCTTTTCTCATTGTGTGTTAACCTCACTGCGGTAGCCTCCTCTCTGCCTCACATCCCACCGTTAGAACTGTTGTTCATTGCTGACGGGTTGATCCCGACTCATGGCGACCCCGTGCGTGCAGAGTAGAACCCCTCCACGGGGTCTTCAGGCCTGTGACCAAACAGATGCCAGGCCTGTCTTCCAGGTTGCCTGTGGGTGGGTTTGAACAACCAACCTTCTGTCTAGTCCTGGAGTTACCAGTTTGTGCCCCACCCGGGGACTTCTCCACTGGAACTACATAAGCCTGTTCACAACTCTCCCGGCGTAGAGCTGTGCAGTGGCACCTTGGACCCCGGAATGGAGGCAACGCTCCACACACTGCACTCAAGGCTGCTAAGATCTGGCCCCAGCTGGCCTCTTTGCTTTTAGTCCCCTCCTATGTCCCCACTTTGCACTGACTGAAGTCATCCTCTGAAAGGCTTTTAGTTCCCTCAGAGTATTTCATGTGTCCATGGTTTTGCATATGCTGTTCCCTCCTTCAGGGATAACTTTTCCACCTTTCCACCTGTCCTTCTGTTTTCTCAAGCCCCTCCCCATCACCTCCCAGTGAAGCCTTTCCCACCATCCCCCTCTGAAAGCCAACCACATCCTTTCACCCCTCCCTGAGCTCTTGTTGTTCTTGGTGACATGCATGTCCCCCCGCCAGCCTGGGGGAAATCTATGACACTAGGGCCATGTTGTAGCTCTTAGTCCAAAGCCACCACAGGGTCTGGTAGAGAGTGGGTGCTAACAGAATGCAGGTGGCATGAGTGAAGCAATGGATGAGTGAATACGTGCTGGGTCAGGCGGAGGTCAGCACTTGAAAGGTTGTGAAGACTGGAACCCTTCCCTCCTCCACTGTGCAAGGGAGACAGACCTGAGGCCGGACAAAGGAAGGAGGCAGTGTGGGGTCCAGCTGGGAAGGAAGCGACTGTCTGGGTAATCTTCAGACACATCGCATCTGCCCTCCAATTTCTTAGGCCTGAATTTTAATGGCAGAGTGAATTTACATCTTCACTTCCCTTGCATGACCTCAGGCAAGTTCCTTTGTCTTCTCATACCCTTAGTGTCAGCCTCTGGATGGGATTTGATGACAGCCAGTGGGGTGAGGGATATGGGGAGTATCGACACAGACTAGCTCTCCCTCCCATCACCTCTTGGAAGGTCTGACCTCAATGCCACCTTCTCCAAGCACCTGTCAGGAATGACTCCTGTGAGCCGCCTGGGTCCTTATTAATTTCTGCCTTGTCAGTGGAACGAGACTCTAGCTATCTTAGGCTCAGGCACTGGGTCTGGTTCATCCTGTCTGTGAGACAATTGGAATCGAGTCCAGGGTGGCCTGGATTCCAGTTCTGAATGTGGTTGTTTTAGGGAGATTAATGGCATAGGGTTGCTAGGAGTTGGGATGGACCCCATGGCAATGGGTTTGGTTTTTTTGGTGTGGTTTTGTGACTCAAATGTTTTGAGGATACTGACTTACACAGGCTAAGAAGCGTTACACACGCCACAGGCGTTTCCTTACGCTTTGCTGCAGTGGAAGGCTCCTCTCTTCCCTGTCTTCCTTTCTCTTCCTCCATCTTCCCTTCCTTCGCCCTCGTCTTGGCACCTCCTCTCTGCCCCTCTTCCTTATCTGTGTCCCTCCCCTTCCCTCTCACAGGTTCTCGCCTCCCTCCACACACCCTTCCTCTCTTTCTTCCCTCTGTCCCCCTCTTTCTTCCCCCCTTCACTCTCCTTCCCTTCCTTTCATTCCATAGCCCCCCACTGCCTCAGGTGTTGGTCCTCTGGCTCCCACACTTCTGAGTTCCATCTGTCACAGCCCCCTCCCGTTGATGGCATTTTCTGTCCCCTTTAAGGGGGAGATGTGGGCTTCTTGACAACAGAGACCAGATCGGGTTTCCCTGCTGCCCTGCATAAGGGATGGCACAGAATAGGCCTTCCCCAAGGTTGGGGGTGAATGAAGGGGTGGAGAGTGGTGAGGAAAGCTAGGGTCTGGTATACCTGATTCTGCCAGGTGTCTTAGTTTCCTGGGATGGCTGTAACAAAGTACAACAAAGTACAACAAAGTCGTTGGCTTTTAATAGCAGATATATATCGGTTCACAGTTTTGGGGCCAGTAGTCTGAATTCAGGAAAATAACAACAACAACAGTCTGAATTCAAAGTGTTGCCTGGGCCGCGTTCTCTTGGAAGTCTCTGGAGGAAGATCTTTCCTTGTCTTTCCTACCTTCTGGCAGTCCCAGCCGTTCACTGACTCACAGCTGCGGCGTCACTTTCTCATCTCACGGCCCTTTTCTCTTTGTGTCTCTTCTCCTATGTAAGGATATCAGTTATAGAACTGGGATCCACTTTACTCCAGTATGAACTTATGTTAACATATAACATCTTCAAAGACCCTTGTCATGGACTGAATGGCACCCCCCCCCCATATGTGTGTGTCAGCTTGGCTTGGCCATGCTCCTCAGTAGTTTGGCAGTTATATAATGAGGTAATCAGTCCTCGTGATATGATCTGATGTGGTCAGCTCATCAGTTGTAAGGGGATTAGTGTGGGATGCAACACCCTTACACAGGTCATGATCTTAATTTGATGTAAGGTTTCCCTGGGGTGTGACCTTCATCATCTTTTATCTTACAAGAGATTAAAAGAGAGAGAAGTGAGCAGAGAAGGCGGGACCTCAGTACCACCAAGAAAGAAGAGCGTGTCCTTTTGGACCCTGGGTCTCTGTGTTGAAAGCCTTCTAGACTCAGGGGAAGATTGATGCCAAGACACATGGAAATATCTAAGGGACACTGGGCCCACAGATGTTGAAAGGCGACAAGAACCTACCCCTACAGTGACAGAGAAAGACTTCCCTTGAGAGCTGGTGCCCTGAATTTGGACTTCTGGTCTCTAAACAGTGAGAGAATGAACTTCTGTTTGTTAATGCCATCTACTTGTGGTATCTCTCTTATGGCAGCATTAGATAACTAGAGGTAGAATTTGGTACCAGGAGTGGGTGCTGCTCTAACTGATACTTAAAATGTGGAAGCAGTTTTGGCATTGGGTAATGAGTGAAAGGTGGAAGAACTTTAAGGGAGCTCTGGTAGCATAGTGCCTAAGGCACTTGACTGCTAACCAGAAGGCTGGCGGTTCCAACCCACCAGCCACTCCTCGGAAGGAAGGTTGGGCAATCTACTTCCATAGTGATACTGTCTCAGAAACCCAAGGAGGGGTCGCTATGAGTCGTGTCCGACTCGATGGCACTTAACAATAACAACAACAACAACACTAGTAAAAGCCTACATTGCCTTGAAGAGACTGTTAGTGAAGTTACAGATGTCAAAGGCATTTCTGGTGATGGTTCTGAAGAAGTGAGGAGAGCTGTGACACCAGAGACGGCACAGATGATGAGAAGCAGCAGCTGAGAAACAGCAGCAGCAGAACCTGGAGACTGGTGTGAGATGGTGTGGGACGCAGCTCATGGAGCAAGAGAGCTTATTTCCTTCAGGCGGGAGGCTTCCTAGCAGAGTGGGGTGTCTCTGGGCACTTATTGGTAGAACTCAAGAACTTTGAAATACTTGCCCAAACAGAACGGAGGCTGGGCCAGCTCAAAAGGCCAGAGGGGCTAAGGAGCTGAGAGGCCGAGAGGCCAAGCAACCAGGAAGTAGAAGGGACCAGGAGCATGGGAAGCAGAACTGCCTTGGTCTCCAAAGGTAGGGATATGACTTCTGGGGCCTCAAAAGATGGAACCACAGCCTACTGGGTCTCAAAGGGTGGGGCTATGTCTTCCTTGATTTCAAAGAGAGAAATCTTCATCAGCTGTGTTCTGGAGTGTGGTGTTGTCATTGATGAGTCCTAGAGAGATGGGCCAGAGCCACTGTCCAAAGCTGAGGAGCTGAGGCTGCCATGCTCAAGGGGTAGAAGAATGGGCCTTGCTGGGGCCAAGGTAGTGGGGTCAACACTCAGTTGGATTAGGAGAATGGGGCTGCCAAAAATGAGGGAGCAGAGTTGCCTTCCCATGGGCTTGGAAGGTGGAGCTGAAGCCCAAGGCTGAGAGGCCTCCACCCAGAATTCAGAGAGCATGACCCAAAGTCTGGAAGGTGGGGCCATTACCTAAATGGTCTCAGAGAAGAGAAGATTTACATACATTGTTCTGCTGTTTTTTTTTACTTGATGCCCATTTTCCCCTCTTTCCCTCTGATTTCTTCCATATGTAATGTCTACTTGGGAAGCAGATAACTTGTATTCTAGACTATCAGATGAAGAGGAATTTTGCCCCAGGATGGAATTTGGACCTGGAGTCTATTTAAGGCTTTTGGGGTGACATGATGGAGTGAATGTGTTTTGCATGGCAAGGATATGAATTTTGGGGGGCCCAAGGGTGGAATGTCATGGATTGATTTGTGTCCACCAAAAATGTGTCGACTTGGCTAAGCCATGATTTTCAGTGGTTTGGCAGTTATGTAATGATGTAATTTTATGTAATGATGTAATCATCCCTCATGATGTGATCTGATGTCATCAGCCAATCAGCTGTAAGGGGAGTAGAGTGGGAAGTAACACCCTTACTCAAGTCACAGCCCTGTTCCATGTAAGCAGAGTTTCCCTGGGATGTGGGCTGTATCTCTTTGCATCTTACAAGAGATAAAAGGAGAAAGAAGCAAGTAGAGAAGGAGGGACCTGACTATCCCCAAGAAAGGAGAACTGGGAGTGGAGTGTGTCCTATGAGTGAGGTCCCTGATGAGAGCCTCCTAGACCCAGGAGAAGATTGATGCCAAGACACATGGAGATCTCCAAGGCACAGCAGGCCCACAAGTGTTGAAAGGAGACAAAGACTGAGAGAGCAAACCTTCCC